CTCTTCTTCCTCATCAGTAAGATTTAGCCAATGCTCATCCTCGGCCATCAGAGCTTTGCCAGCTTCTTTTTGCTTGGACAGAAGAAATTTATTCTTGTAATAGCCGGCTTCTTACAATCAATAACAAAATGGCCTAACTAACCACAATTAAAGCATTTTGTATGCTCATCAGCTACTGCTTTGCTATATTTCTTACCTTCTTCTAGCTTTCGCTCGTACTTCTTCTCGAATATTTTCTCTTCGTATTTCTTCTTCTCTCCGAACTTGTCCTTGTAGTCATACTTTGATCCGGATGAGAATCGTTGATTATTCRAGTGYGGCCGTTTGATGAACTTATACTTCTTGAAAGCTTTGGTCAGCATTGCCATAGCTTGCTTTACTTCAGAATCAGATTCTGAGCTGTTACTGTCTTTTTGCTCAGATTCGCTTGACGAACTAACTTCAACAACCTTCTTTCCAGCTCTGCTTTTATACTTCTTTTCCTTTTTCTCAGTTATAAGAGCTAAGGGATCAGAAAMWTCCTTTTCCTTCTTCTTAGATTTACAGATCTCCAAAACATCTTGTTCATTCTATTTCAGAGTTTCATATATTTCATGTATATCAATATCAGATAACTGTTTGTTGAATCTGATATTATTTGCAAATGTTTTCCACTCTGGTTGAAGATTGTTAAGGAACTTAACATTTATCTCGATAGTAGTTTTGGAAATACTGTTCTTCATAAGCTCATTCAGCAGCCTGACAAGACGGTTATACACATCATCAAGGCTTTCTCCCTCTCTAGCCTTGAATTCCTCATACGCAGAAATGCAATTAGTGATCTTCAGTTGAGTTCCAACTTTAGAGCCCATCATCATTTTCTCTATTTGAATCCACATGCTATGACCTGATGATTTGTAGCTATCAATACTGGTATAGATATCATTGGTCAGTGCTTGCATCATGTACGATTTGCAAAGCACGTCWGCATGTGCTCTCTCTTTTTGTTGAGGATCATATTGATCTTTTGTTAAACGTACTTTCTGTGCAGGAACACCAAGTACATTATCAGAATCTGTCTCTACAAAGAATTCAGCTGGACCTTTTAATAGAGATTCCATGATCTGTTCTCCTTCTTTCAATCTTTCAATAAAATTCAAGAATCTATCTCTCCATTGATTGTAATCTYCTCTAAAAAGTACTGGTGGCTTGGTATCAGTACCAATAGCCATCGCTTCTTTTGAACTCATCTTTGAAGTTTGTATGAAAATTAGGATCGACTGCAGTTCAAAGTTCGAATTTAAAAGAATACGAAAATCCTGTTCTAAACTTCTAAAATCCGGGCATACCACATAATCTATTAGTTCTCGATTTTTTGGAGACTAATATTGAAAAAGGCAAAGCCCAGGCCAATTCTTGTCACAACCCCACCAACTACTTATTTATCTCTCAATAGATAAATGTTTTAATAACATTTGGGGCACGCAGCTCATCATCTATCAGTTTCTCATTCGGAGAAAATTGATATTGAAATCAGAAGGATATATGTCCCCCTTCAAGTCTTTTTGATCACTATTTGAGTCTGATAAATTTGTGTAGTCCACACGATTTATCTTTTTGAGCCTAA